GGCAGCAGATGTAGCCCACAACTGTTGTCCACATTTGCACATCAACCACACTGCAACCATCCAGCACTGTGAATGCACTTTGGAATAGTAATATTATAATAATAATAATAATAATAATAATAATCCTTGCATTGATACAGCGTCTTATCACATTTTCGTGGCGTCTCAAAGCTCTTCACAGAATATACCGCAAAGTGAATTGACTGTATTTTGCGGACGAAACGTTAGGTAACCTCGCTTCGGAGGGTTTTGACTCTTGTGCAGGGAATGCCGTGAGCAAAGAAATATTTCCGGCGTGCCAGGGCCAAGGGGCAGTTGTTTCTAACAAGCTGTCGCAGCATCAGTTTACCACTATCTTCCTGACTTGTCTGAAGTGTCGATATGACGAGCGTTGACATTGTATTTTATATTGCGCTCCTCACCTCATCGTGAGCCGACTTGATACTCTCTTTCTAAGCCATTCCGAAGCAGAATACATTGCAATCAAACCCAAGAATCTCCCGGGGTTGCATTTGTGTAATAATAATAATAATATTAATCCTTGTATTTGATACAGCGCCTTATCACGTCTTCGAGACGTCTGAAAGCGCTGCACAAGATATACTGTAAAGTGAATTGACTGTATATTTTGTGGGTAAAACGAGGTATCCGATTGCGCACAGCAGTGTCCCACAAACAGTTGTGGATTGAGTGACCAAATGTCCTCCTGATGTGAAAGATATCTAATTGTAAATTGTAACATGGTCACTCAACTACAGCACTCATCCTTCTCTCTCTCCCTCTCTCTCTGTCTCTCTCACACACACACACACACACCATTCCCTGTCTAATTCCTTTTAGTGCTGCTTCTGTTACAGCTACGGCAATGAAAAATGCTGGTCAGAGTAACAAATGACATCTTTCTTAACTAACAAATCTATAAATAGTAAAAGTAATTGGTATTGCATCTTTCACGTTGGGAAACCAGTTAGGAAAGTAGCCAAAATGATAGATTAGCGACACTCTCCAGCTGTTTAGGATATGACCAAATGTAACACTCACACCAAATTGCCTTTTGGTAACTTTACTGTACCATTGGAAGTATAATTGACAGAAGTTGTTTGCAAGTTGATGCAAATTCAGCTCGGCTTTAATAAGTGTGCAATCCTTGCAAATGGACTTTTGTGGTTTAAATACTTTTCGGTGGTGATCGATCACAAACTGTTGCCATCAATTCAGCAATGCCGCTTCCAACAACAAGTTACATTTATTTAGCACCTTTCGTGTCAGGAGGACGTCCCAAAGTATTCCACCGGTCAACATACATCAAACTGGAGAATTTCCTCAATCTCTTCAATGCCCACATAAAATGTCGCAAGCCATAGCACTACCTGATTTATCTGCAAATAAATTTAGAGATTTAGAGGTTACCGTAGGCACAGTCGAAGAGGATTGTCTTCAGGCGCAACCCGATGAAGGGGAAGGAAGGGGTGAGGCAGAGGGATAGAGGAAGAGTGTTCCAGAGGACAGCACTGTTGGCCAAGACTGTGAGCTCAAAGTCCCGATTGAAGACTTGAGCCACAACCTTCTGAATCAGAGGCGAATGTGCTACCCACAAAGCCAGGCTGACAACATTTTGATGAGGAATCTTTGCTACTTAAAAGTCTGTGACTTTTTTTCAATGTTGATCTTTGTAAAGTTTGACAGGACTGTCCGTGAGATAATGGGTGAGAATATTTTTTTTTTGCTTGCTCCAAGAAATGCTGGGACTTCAACTTACATCAAGGTCAGATTGAAGGGATGAAGATCTCCTCCGACAGCAGTGATCGCCCAAAGTAAACCGAGCTCAAGCAATTTCTATTCTGCTCCACTAGGGACATGAGCCCTCAGCACAAAAAAAACAACTATCTCAACCAACTAACAATAATAGAGAAATGTAACTTGCTGAGCTGATAGGGGAAAACTAAATGCACAATGGGGGAGTGCGAGACACTGACATTAAACACAAGGATTGCAAAATGTATTGCATTTCTAGCACATGAGCGATGAACTCTCACCTTCATGACTGCAGCCATTCCGCCTATTCTCACTTTGAGTGGTTCGTCTTGTGAATAAAATGCAATACGAAGCACGATGTCAGCCTTGGCAGAACATTCGCCTTCGAGTCACAAAGTGTTCGGTTCCAAGCCCCCTCCCTCCACTCCTCCTTCCCCCCCCCCCCCCCCACCCCACCACACCACACCCCCCCACCCCCAGCTGGGTGTCTGACACGTGTGTTAACCCAGCACCATTCTGTAGAGTCTCCAAACCAAGATGAGAATTGCATGCTTCGCACCTACACACGGAAATTGCAGAGATAGATTGTTAGGATAGAAGGCGAGGTCTCTCCCTCCTTATCTAAATCAGGAGCTTAACTGGAGTTTTGTCTAATCTGCTCATCATTCCATGTTGTGCACAATTAGTAGTTCTGATTCTAATTCCTATAACATGCGCCCATTAATGAGTCTGTAAAAGCTGCTCATTATTAAAACATGACCTCCTGCTGGTCGGCGATCTGAATGTTTTATTATGAACACATCGTGAGTGCAAATGCGTTTGCAAGCATCTCCATGCTCTTAGCTTCTGCTCCTTTATAAAAGAGAAATCGGTGGTGTGGTTTCAGCTCCATTCCCGATATTAATTTCCCTTCAGCTCTGAGGCCGTCAAATTAATCACTGACTTCATTGGCTGTTTGTGGGATGGTTGCTGTGCCCAAATTGGCTGCCGTGCTCAGCTACAAAAAGGTACACATCAAAGTGTGCATCAAGGTGAAGTACTTTGAGTCGTCCTCCTGATATAACAGACACTTCATCAGATGTAAAGATTATTATTATTTATAAAATTCACTGAAAAGAATAACCGTTTCTCTAATTGTTAATTAACATTGAACTCTTATGAGAAAAAGCTGTATTCACCCTTAATACTTTATAATCATATGCATTGCCTGATAACCAAACCGCAGCTTAACATTCTATTTTTGTTGTTAGAAGATTATTAGGTCCCTACTTTCAATATTTTGATGTTATGCATATCTATTCACTGTATTGTGCATTTCATTAATATTCACTAGGTGTTTTGTTTGCAGCCACCGAAATAAAATGAGGATGGATTATATTCATTTACAGATTTATGGAGCAAATAATGATTATCTGATGAGATGGTGACATTGGGAAGAAACTCAAGCCACGACAAGACCGATATGTATGTGTGTATATACATATATATACATATACTCATGTAAGACAAGATTAATCCAGTCCATAACATATATTCAGCTACAGCTTAGAATCTTTGCTTGATTATACCCTCTGTCTCCATGATACAAAAGGTAGCCTCTTCCTCAGCATGATACAACTTTTGAACAATAAGTCCCAGATATAGTCAAATCAGATCCATGAATATTTATGCTTGTATCATTCTGGAACCAATGCATACGTGAGGGAGAAAGAAATATGGGAGCATCGGGAGGCTACGATAAGGGGATTAGGATGGGTGCAGTATAAACTTTGGGACAGACTGGAATGAGTGACCGATTTTATTTAGGGGAAGGAGGCTGAATGGCCTATTTTGATGCTGTAGGTTCTATGTAAAAAACCTTCCAAAAAAATAATAATAATAATAATAAATTGGCCGCTCAATCCATGACTGTTTGTGAGACACTGCTGGGTTTCCCCCACAAAGTATGCAGTCGATTGACATTACACTATGTTCAGTGAAGCTCTTTGAGATGTCTCGAAGACGTGATAAGGCGCTGTATCAAATGCAAGGATTATTATTATGTAGTATTCCATGTTTACAAATCTGCAGTCATTTTACATTACCTGCTAAATTAGCCTCGAGATGTTTCAGTGTTATAGGCACATAACAATCAATTGCAAAGATTGTTATGATGACCCCATCTCTATCTCTCTGCCTCTATCCTCATCTCCAGGACCACTGCTGTCCTGACCGCTGGACTGTCTGTCAGACATAAAGTCCTGGACGAGACAAATTTTCTCCAGTTGAATGTCAACAAGACCAAGGCCCTCCTGCGTGGCTCTCGTCGGCACCTCCACACCTCAGGCGCTGACAGCATCACCATCCATGGTTGCACTCTAACCTCACTGAGCCAGTAAGGAACCTGTGAAGTGCTTTGAGTTGTCTTGTTAATGTGATAACGTATGGTTTCAAATGCAAGGTTTATTATCAGTTGGTTTTGGTGTAATTTCCCTTTGCCTGGTGCTGTGTGTTCTGCCAGTTATCTTCATTGAATTAAATGATAGCCAGCTCAGTTTCACAAGCAGTTCGTGCCTGGCTAATCTCATCGGGTTGTGATTGGAAAGGCTGACATTTGTCTCTGGAAGGAAGGCTTTATTTGACGATTAGGTTAACACTGTTGTATTAATAGTTGTTCGTCTGCTGTTCTGACATTGTATTTGCCATACTCTTTCTGTATTTGGATTGGTTTGTGGTTTGTTGCTAGGGTTACAATAGCCTGAAGACATCACAAATTATTAGATGAACGGCAATGGATTCAAGTGAAGTGTGATGATATTGGTTCTCATTCCATCTCATTGGTGATTCTCATACGCTAACGCACTGAAAAACAGCAATCCTTTCCCACTGTGAAGATCTAATGAAAAGATGTCTATTTTACAGATTGGTTTACTTTTTCTTTAAGTTATTTCCACTTGTTTGATTTCATCTTGATTTGGTCCAGTCGCTCTAAGATCCGGAAGGAGTTTGTTTGTCAGATACATAATAATAATAATAATAATTCTTGCATTTTATACAGCGCTTTTCACGTCTTCTAAACGTCTCAAAGCGCTTCACTGAATAGATTGTAAAGTGAATTGACTGTATATTTGTGGGCAAAACGTGGCAACAAATTGTGCACAGCAGCGTCCCCACAACCAATCGTGAATTGAAGTATTCGATTTATTATTTTTTTTCTTTGACGCATTATTATCAGGCGTGTGGAGTAAGGAAACTTGCCCAAGGTTTTGTCCTGCCGGGATTCGAACCCGGGTCTCTCGCTTGTGAGGCGAGTGCTCTAACCACTGAGCTACAGGTCTCCACATTTGTCTCATAGCTGTTTATGTGATTTTCTGGGTGCTAAACAACTGCTGCATTCGCCTAGAAAAAGTCACTATATTTGACAATAATTATGTCTGTGAAGTTGTCTGTGGTGTTTGTTGTTGTTGACGTTGAAAATGCAAATTCTTTCTAAAATTGCAGCAGTCACAACAACCTGTTACAGATGCCTCTCAATATTCACATCACCATGAAATATAGATGGGAATTTGTGACAGGCTTCTTCCTTCACAATTATGCAGCAATTTGAGCCATATTTTCATGTCTCCCTCTCCAGATAAACATGTCAGCAACTTAACTAGATTAACATCTAATCAAAGGTCCAGGAAAGGGAATATCTGAGGGTACAAAAAGGAAATAAGATCAGATCGTTAATGGGATCAACTTTACTTGATCTAATCAATAATTGAGCAAAGACTCTCTCTGCGACTGAAAATTGGAGGTTAACAATAGTAATCCTTGCGTTTGATACTGCGCACAGCACACAAATAATATGCTCTTATTTGTCTCGCAGTCAATAGTCATTACCTAGCGCCCTCGATCAATTCTTATCGATGCTCCTGTCTCAGATTATAAAGTAAATCGGTGAAGAAATCTCAAAGCCCATCGCGGGATTGGACTGCGTATTTAGTAGATGATTGCGGCAGGCCATTTGCACGCAGCAATGAAGTTGCAGATTGTCAATGAGAGGCAATGTAGAAGTATCTCGATGTCTGATTCACTTGGCATACTGCTCAAATCAACACCGTGATCTCGCTCTGCTCACATTTACTTTATAACCTGAGGCAGGAGCATCCATAAGAACTGATCAAGGACACAAGGTAATGACGATTGACTGCGAGACAAATAAGAGCATATTATTTGTGTGCTGTGAGATACCGTGAGCAAGACTATTAATAGCACGTAGGTCAGGGTTTGAGTTACTGGTAATACTTACAACCAAGAGTTCAATTACCACCAATGGACATAAAGTGCAGAATTGCCACATTCCCACAACAAAGCAAATTGATTGCAAGGTTAACGTTGGCCATTTTTGTCGTGACTTGAGGATTAGAATATAATGTTGAAATAATTGACCAGAAAGTCGCTCTCAAAGCCAATCCCCTGAAGGGACTGTGTATAAATTCGACCACTCAACCATGTCTAGTCCTGTTACAGCAGCTGAGAACTCGACAGAGTTATCTCCTGAGATTCAACACTGAATATGCCAAGCTTAAGAGCCTCTCCATCTAATGTCCACTGAGCAGTCTCTCCCCCAGATCTTCAGGCTGGATCCAAGTTTCCGTACATTTCTCTCTCCACAATTAATTCAAACCTAACAGAATTTGTGTGGGGGGGGGGGGAGGGGGTGAAAGGGGGGAGACAATGTAGGGCGGATTTTGTTAAAAATTCACACATAATGATAATAATCCTACAAATGATGAAGGGTAGATCTTATATAATATAAATATAGTAATAATCCTTGCATTTGATATAGCGCTTTTCACGTCTTCTCGACGTCTCAAAGCACTTCACAGAATAGATAGACTGTAAAGTGAATTGACCTTATATTTGTGGGCGAAACGCGGCAGCCAATTGCGCACAGCAGCGTCCCCGCAAACAGTCGTGGATTGAAAATGAGCAATTTATTATTGTCTTATAAGCAGAATGTGTTTACTGTTACTCCTTTCTTTAAATTGTCCTCTCTGACTAATGCAAACTTGGAATTAGCATTTAATGCTCATTTTTTGCGTCTTTCTCGGCTTGCTGGCTTCCATCATGTCCATGGCTTGAGGTATGAGTGTGCCCGAAGCACAATAAAAGCAATACAGGTAAGCGAATCAAGATCACCAGAGCCTCCACTGTGCAACCCCCTTATAAGGGTCTTTAAGTCATCGCCCAAAGACGAAATCAGTAGGTATTGAACAAGTAAGATAATCAGAAACAAACACAGAGAGAGCTGGGAAAACTCAGCAGGCCAGGCAACATCGATGAAGAAAAGAAAGTGAGTTAACATTTCGGGTCCATGACTCTTTGTCAGAACGGAAGCAAAATTCCAGCATTTGCAGCATTTTGTGTTTTGCTCAAGTAAGATAATCACATTACTACGGATGTTTCCCAACCATTCATTTCTTTAATACAATGATTGCGATGTACGTGTGTGTGTGTGTGTGTATGTGTGTGTTTGTGTGTGTGGCATTTAAAAGTGAGAGCGAATTTCTCTACGATTACAATTCGTATTTTAGGAGCTATGACTTTAATGCTACACACACACAGCAAAAAAAACTGCATGAATTGAGGAATCCCTCGCTTCTACTTTATGAGCTCCTTGGTTTCTACATCAATAATAATTCTTGTCATTTATACCGTGCCTTTTGTGTCAGGAGGGTCTCTCAAAGCACTTCACAGGATTTCCTGTAAAGCGTAGTGACTGCGTATTGTGTAGACACACGCAGCAGCAAATTTGGATTCAGCGACTTCCCACAAACAGTCATGAAATGAATGACCAAAATCTGGGGTTTGTTGGCCAGGACACTGGGAGAAATTTCTCAATTCAAACAGTTCTTCCAAATGACAAGGAAGTTAACTTACATTGCGTAAACTAAAATAGATCAACAGCAACAACAACTTCAAATCCACCATGGTGCCCGATTATAGGTGCAAAGTGGGATCTTACGAATCCCAAACATGAGGTTATAATGAGAATCTGATTTATTTTATTAGAGAACTGTACTTATGGTACTCAGCCACAAGATGGAGGTTTTTAAGGCCTTGTCTCCTGGTAATCATTTGTGGCATTCAGTTTAATTAAAGTGGTTGTTGCGAAGCTTTGCCCAAGTGAGAGCAGGTCATTGTGCAGCGCGAGAGAGAAAAACAAGCAATATTAACGTGGGAGGTTACAGCCACACGAAATGCGATGGAACGAGGAGGAAATATGGGTGGAAAGGTGGAAAGAAAAAAAAGTCTGAATTATTTATGAATGTGTCGGGAATTCAAGTAAAGCTCACAAAGGGCTGCTCAGTACTTATCACAAGCACTTGAAGTCTACAGTACCTTTGAGTTTGTCAGAGATGAAGAAGGGCAAAGGCTAGATGTGCCAATAAAGAAAAGTGCAAAGCATTTTATGTCTTAGAAAAATGCCACATGAAAGACATGCATTTAATACGAGAGCGCATTTTTGAAAAGGCAGGTTAAATCTTGTGAGTACGGTTCATTGTGTGAAGCCTTTTCAAAGGTAGAATTGTGAATGATGTTCATCAGAAGCAGCCTTCGCTGCGGGGACCGCAACCATTATATTGCGCTGCCGAGGTTAGGTTGGACAACCCGTAGGTCTGCTGATATTGAGCACGCAGCTCTTTACTGATCGAACAAAGTCTTCGGCGAGCTCAGTTCAGAGAAATGACTGTACGTCATTGAAGGGAAGATGGGACATGTAACTGCTCGCACAGGGACAGAAGGGCAACTAACGTGGCAACATTAATAAGTTGGTCACTTCAATCCACGACTGTTTGTGGGGACGCTGCTGTGCGCAATTGGCTGCCGTGGTTTCGCCCACAAATATACAGTCAATTCACTTTACAGTGTATTCTGTGAAGCGCTTTGGGACGTCCTCCCGACGTGAAAAGCGCTATATCAAATGCAAGGATTATTATTATTGTTATTATTATTCTGTGAAGCGCTTTGAGACGTCTCGAAGACGTGTTAAGGGGCTATATCAAATGCGAGGATTATTATTGTTATAGTATAACGTTAATTTGGAAACTAGTGAATTGTTTGCCAGACCAGTCAAGTCAAGTTGATACCGATGCACACATGGTTGAAGACGCACAGTTTTATTAGCGCAGGGGGAAATCTCAGCAGCGTCTACACCTCACTCTCCAAACTATGCCCCTCATCTCCTGTGCGCACTTCACACAGGCTAGTGCCTGGAGCACTCGACAATAGCAAGGCTTGATGCCGAGAGCAGGAAGAAAGGGGAATCGACAGCGGGCACGATTGAAGAGAAAAGTCTTCAGGTGCGATCTGAAAATGGGCAAAAGAAGCGCCAAGACAGAGGGGTTGAGTCCCAGAGATTCTGGGTTTAAGGGCTGAAATCATGTCACTGGAGCTGAAGAGAATAAGCACGGCTGAGCGAAGGGAGAGGGTAGAGGAATGTGATTGAGCGGATATGAGAGGTAGGGAGGTGCTCGGGCATGAAACGGTTTGCAGGTGAATTTGTAGGTAGATCAGAACCTTCAAGGAGATATACCTCGGAATACAACAGATATCTGCCGGTTTTCATTGAAATCTATATTTTTAGTGCCATTTTTCCCCCCCTCTTTCCCACCCCACCCCCAGTGCTGACCACTATTTGCTCTAGTCCAGGTTGATATAAATGTCAGCGTTTGGCTCCAGTCACCATGTCCTTGCGCTGCCTGTGTATTGAATTGGGAGAGAGATCAGATTCTGCGTGGCCTTTTATACATCTTCATTTGGACGCCCTGCAAGATAATAACCGCTCAAGACAGAAAGTCAAATCCATTTTGCTTTGCCCCAATTGACTTGTGGAGTCCGTTGCCATCTGCCTTAGGCACTTTGTCGCCCTCTGCCCTCTGTTCGATCAGAAATCTGCCATTGCCATTTTGGTGCCAACAGTAACTTGCATTTATACAGCGCTCTTAACATTTTGGAGCGACTCCAGTGATGGGGAGTGATACCCAACAAGGGAAAAGGGGGAAGGTGACCATGGGTTCAGTCAAAGACATTGGGATAATCTCTCTTCTATTTTTGAATGGGATCTTCAAAGTCCACCTGGACAGGCAGACAGGACCTCAGCTTAACGCCCTCATCTAAAGGACAGCATCTCCAACAATACAACCCCCACCTCCTCCCCCACCAGCGTTGTGTCGGAGTGTCAGCCTAAACTACGTGAGTTCAAATCATTCTGTACGCCTTCAACCCTGACTCCAATGTGGGAGTGCTACCAACTGAGCCAGGCCGACACACAAAATAATTACCAGCATCCAT